AAATCCAAACCAGTTTAATTGGAATGAATGGCAGTAGAGCATGGCTCTCCAACCCTGTTCCTGGAGTGCTACACTCATGTAGGTTTTCGCTCCAACCCCAGTTGTATCTAACCTGATTCATTCTATCAACCAGCTAATTATTAGAATCAGGTGTGCTAGATTAGGATTGGAGTGAAAAACTACAGGACGGTAGCTCTCCAGGAACTTGGAGTGCCCTGCAGTAGAGGCATAATCCTGATTTTACTTATGCAGGAAAATAAAAGGCATGTGATATCAGAAAATGTGTAATAGAATTGTCACCCTAAAATAGTGTCATACAATTATAAACACAGTTCATACAGGTTTTATACAAGTTGTCTGTATAAATAGCCTCTTAACTTTAAACAGATCATACATGTCCAAATGTTTATTGGAAAGCTGTGAGTGCTATTATATGATACAATATCAGTACTTGTTGCATTTTACAACTTGTTTAAGTCCTATTATCAACTGAATTCTGCCAGTTTGTGGCTGTGTATTGACTGCATTGTTTTAATGAAATGTTGGCATATTGGCAGTTAACTTGTAAATACAATTAATGGAATTATTCCTCAAACTGTCTGGCTAGCTAACAAACATACAGTGCAGATACATTCTTCAAATTCATTATTTTACACAATATCTTATAACAGCATTGGCAAACCATGGTTTACCAACTCCCTGACCAAAATGGCTGACCTTTATCCCGTCATAAGGTTAATGTCCATTCTAATTCCTAATTCTATGGTTACAGCTACCTGAATGAAAAAACGAGCCTAATCAGCGACCGTTTAGCTTCGGTAGCTCACATAGCTAGTTCTTAATACGGTGTGATTATTTATTGTTAGCTAGCCAAATGTAGACATATCGATAGTTCCGGCCACTCCAACCCTGTTCCTGGAGAACTACACTCCTGTAGGGTTTCAACCCAACCAGTTGTAACTAACCTTATTCAATTTATCAACCAAATAATTATTAGAATCAGGTGCGTTAGATTAGGGTTGGAGCGAAAACCTGCTTAGTTTACTTTTGTGTGTTCGATGATGAACGCAACCCGGTCAATGGAAGACGATGAAACGCGCTACAATGGCCCGTGTGTTAGTGCTAATTCGCCACTGAACAACAGGTAGTGATGATCAAAGGAACGTTTGCAAAACTGGGGAAAGGCTCTCTAACCAATAAAGACTACGTTTGGATCTGTCTTTCAGACCAATCAAACCTCGGACTAGATTCCACCAATCAAGGTTTCTACGGGTTCAGTTAGTTGTGAAACTGACGCCATTCGGGATCTAGCAAAAATAGCCAGTCGTACGAGGCAGAATTTAGACAAGAGCCAACATGGCGGACTAAGTGCGGCAGTTTCTTGACCGCCTCGGTTCCTTTCAGCTGGCCACCAATAAGCGGCTCAGAGAGCGGGGAGGGAAATGGCGCCTATGTTCATCTTCCAAAACAATCGTCTATTGGACAAGAACAGCAATTGAAAATTCGCAAAGTCATAGCCCCACTTCCATAGCGACACAGTATGCTTTCACATAGACATTAACCATGTATAAAATCTGATTTTTACTCACTTTGTTTTACGGGTTTGCACAAGTGAAGTTCAGCTCAGCGTATTATTATTATTTTTCAGTAGCAACGGGAAACAAGATGGCTGCCACGTACTTCTGCTCGAACCGGAAACTGTGCTACGTTGGTGCGCTGACGTCAGGAACTTCAAATTCTGAGCCTGTGAAGTAAGATTTTTCAGAATCGAACTCAAACTACAAAATGTTTCACATAATTATCTTACAAACCCATGAACTCAAAGGGTGTGTGAATAATTTAGGAACCTGCTGGGTGCTATCCATAAATCTATGGCGCTGTTCCACCCCCTTTTCAGAAGTGATTCTCTGCATCAAACATGCAGCAGAATGTTTATCTGCCACAGAAAGAACAGGTAAAACGGATTACTCTACCACATATCACTTAAAGGATAAGTAGCCTAAATTTGAAAATGAAATACTCTGTATTCCCATTCAATCCTAATGTCCAGATTTTTCTAATCCTTGTATGGAAAACTACACTGAACAAAAATATAAAGCGCAACAATTTCAAAGCTTTTACTTAGTTACAGGTCATATAAGGAAATCAGTCAATTGAAATAAATTAATTCAACCTAAATCTATGGATTTCACATGACTGGGAATACAGATATGCATCTGTTGGTCACAGATACCTTAAAAAAAAAAGTAGGGGTGTGGATCAGAAAATCAGTCATTATCTGCCTCATGTAGCGCTACACATCTCCTTCACATAGAGTTGATCAGGCTGTTGATTCTGGCCTTGGAATGTTGTCCCACTCCTCTTCAATGGCTGTACGAAGTTGCTGGATATTTGCGGGAACTGGAACATGCAGTCGTACACGTCGATCCAGAGCATCCCAAACATGCTCATTGTGACATGTCTGGTGAGTATGTAGGCCATGGAAGAATCTGACATTTTCAGCTTCCAGGAATTGTGTACAGATCCTTGCGACATGGGGCTGTGCATTATCATGCTGAAACATGAGGTGATGGCAGCAGATGAATGGCACGACAATGGGCCTCAGGATCTCGTCACGGTATCTCTGTGCATTCAAATTGCCTTTGATAAAATGCAATTGTGTTCATTGTCCGTAGCTTATGCCTGCCCATACCATAACCACACAGCCACCATGGGGCACTCTATTCATAACGTTGACATCAGCAAACTGCTCGCCCACACAACGCCATACATGCTGTCTGCCATGTACAGTTGAAACCCGGTATTCATCCGTGAAGAGCACACTTCTCCAGTGTGCCAGTAGCCATCGAAGGTGAGCATTTGCCCACTGATGTCGGTTACGACGACGAACTGCAGTCCGGTCAAAACCCTTGTGAGGACAACGAACACGCAAATAAGCTTCCCTGAGACAGTTTGAGCAGAAATTCTTCGGTTGTGCAAACCCAGTTTCATTAGCTGTCCAGGTGGCTGGTCTCAGACGATCACGCAGGTGAAGAAGCCGGATGTGAAGGTCCTGGGCTGGCGTGGTTACACGTGGTCTGTGGGGCCGGTTGGACGTTCTGCCAAATTCTCTAAAACGATGTTGGAGGCAGTGTATGGTAGAGAAATTAACATTAAATTCTCCGGCAACAGCTCTGGTGGACATTCCAGCAGTCAGCATGCCCCCTCAAAACTTGAGACATACAGTGGGGAGAACAAGTATTTGATACACTGCCGATTTTTCAGGTTTTCCTACTTACAAAGCATGTAGAGGTCTGTAATTTTTATCATAGGTACACTTCAACTGTGAGAGACGGAATCTAAAACAAAAATCACATTTGTATGATTTTTAAGTAATTAATTTGCATTTTATTGCATGACATAAGTATTTGATCACCTACCAACCAGTAACAATTCCGGCTCTCACAGACCTGTTCGTTTTTCTTTAAGAAGCCCTCCTGTTCTCCACTCATTACTTGTATTAACTGCACCTGTTTGAACTCGTTACCTGTATAAAAGACACGTCCACACACTCAATCAAACAGATTCCAACCTCTCCACAATGGCCAAGACCAGAGAGCTGTGTAAGGACATCAGGGATAAAAGTGTAGACCTGCACAAGGCTGGGATGGGCTACAGGACAATAGGCAAGCAGCTTGGTGAGAAGGCAACAACTGTTGGCGCAATTATTAGAAAATTGAAGAAGTTCAAGATGACGGTCAATCACCCTCGGTCTGGGGCTCCATGCAAGATCTCACCTCGTGGGGCATCAATGATCATGAGGAAGGTGAGGGATCAGCCCAGAACTACACGGCAGGACCTGGTCAATGACCTGAAGAGAGCTGGGACCACAGTCTCAAAGAAAACCATTAGTAACACACTACGCCGTCATGGATTAAAATCCTGCAGCGCACGCAAGGTCCCCCTGCTCAAGCCAGCGCATGTCCAGGCCCGTCTGAAGTTTGCCAATGACCATCTGGATGATCCAGAGGAGGAATGGGAGAAGGTCATGTGGTCTGATGAGACAAAGATAGCTTTTTGGTCTAAACTCCACTCGCCGTGTTTGGAGGAAGAAGAAGGATGAGTACAACCCCAAGAACACCATCCCAACCGTGAAGCATTCTTTGGGGATGCTTTTCTGCAAAGGGGACAGGACGACTGCACCTTATTGAGGGGAGGATGGATGGGGCCATGTATCGCGAGATCTTGGCCAACAACCTCCTTCCCTCAGTAAGAGCATTGAAGATGGGTCGTGGCTGGGTCTTCCAGCATGACAACGACCCGAAACACAAAGCCAGGGCAACTAAGGAGTGGCTCCGTAAGAAGCATCTCAAGGTCCTGGAGTGGCCTAGCCAGTCTCCAGACCTGAACCCAATAGAACATCTTTGGAGGGAGCTGAAAGTCCGTATTGCCCAGCGACAGCCCCGAAACCTGAAGGATCTGGAGAAGGTCTGTATGGAGGAGTGGGCCAAAATCCCTGCTGCAGTGTGTGCAAACCTGGTCAAGACCTACAGGAAACGTATGATCTCTGTAATTGCAAACAAAAGTTTCTGTACCAAATATTAAGTTCTGCTTTTCGGATGTATCAAATACTTATGTCATGCAATAAAAAGCAAATAAATTACTTAAAAATCATACAATGTGATTTTCTGGATTTTTGTTTTAGATTCCGTCTCTCACAGTTGAAGTGTACCTATGATAAAAATTACAGACCTCTACATGCTTTGTAAGTAGGAAAACCTATAAAATCGGTAGTGTATCAAATACTTGTTCTCCCCACTGTATATGGCATTGTGTTGTGACAAAACTGTACATTTTAGAGTTACCTTTTATTGTCGCCAGCACAAGGAGCACCTGTGTAATGACCATGCTGTTTAATAAGCTTATTGATATGCCACACCTGTCAGGTGGATGGATTATCTTGGCAAAGGAGAAATGCTCACTAACAGGGATGTAAACAATTGGAGAGAAATACAAATTTTGTGCATATGGAACATTTATTTTTCTTTTATTTCGAATCAGAACTAATTTGTGGTCACAAATGTTTTATTGTCAGTTACAATGCTGTGTTTTTTTATTCTAAAGAAATTAGTTTTCAACAACATGTCTACACAGTTCAAAGCAAGTTTTCTGATTACTAATGTCAAACAATTGCTACAAAACCTTTTTTTTTTTTTAAACGTTATCTTAAAACTAGCCTTCAGCATGAACAATTACAAAGCAAATAGAAGTGAAGAAACATTTCAAAAGCAAAATACAACAGAAATACAATTGAGCTCAGATCAATACAAATATTTTTGCACATGGTGGTTCTACTGTAAAATCACTTTTTCCTTGCCACAAGTTCCAGGAGGGTGGAGGTGATTTTGTCTAGGCTGGTGGACTGAGGGCCGCCCGTCCTATACCCCCGCTCCCAGTGTGTTGGGGGTGCAGGATTGAAGGGATTGTAAAGATCCTCTGCAGGTGGGTAATCACGAGGGTACATCGGCCCCTGCCACCTCTCGTGGGGGTATGCCATTGGCTCCTCTGGACGATCATGAGATTGTGAGTACATGTCAACATGCCCAAAGACCTCTGAAAGAAGGAAGATAATGTAGTTGTGGAATTATTGTAATAAAGCCCCACAAACAGAAACAAATGACAGTAATGACCTTCTGCAATTTGGTTGCGAGATAAACATGCATATATAGTTTACCTTCATATTGGGCTCTCCTCTCCATTCTCTGGTCTATGTCTCTGTGTTTCCCTCTGTAAGGGTCCTGTAGGGTCTCTGGAGTGTAGCGTTCCTGTGAGCGTCTGGGAGGATGGCCTTCGTAATGTCTCTCCTCTTGCACCTCTCTGTAGTTTCTTTCATAGTTGTCTCTGGGACTTTCCAGGTGATCCTTGCTCATGTGATTGTAGTCTTTGGAAATTACTGTTGGACCTGGGCTTTTGTACTACAGTTGAAATGAGGAAAAGGACCATCTTACATAAACCAACTTTTTAAAAGTTTCAGAGAAGATGAAATGTTTGCATTCTCACATCAGCCTATATCCATTCATCATCAACTGACGTCCGTAAAGCAACTGCGCAACACATGCTGTGCAACACAATACCTACCGCAGGCACTACCGCTGTCTTCTCAGATTTTTTGGCTTGGAACTCTTTCAGAAGGTTACACAGCTTGTCCTTCAGGAAGTTGGCCTCTTCCACATTCTCAACCTGTATGTTATTCTAGAAAGAAAACAAGTACATTAAAGAACATGGTCAGTTAAATAATACAGTTTCTCTTCCCAAAAGTCGTCAATGTGCACTAGTCAACTAAAGGCTATGACAGTTGCCTTTGTGCAAAGGGTATTGCATTTTGATTGGTGTTACTCCTCTCTTATTAGGATCTTACCAGTTCATCCAAAACATTCCCAGTGTCTGGAGTTGCCTCTGCCATCGGTCTGGAGCCTGCTCCTCCCTGATAGCCACCCTAAACAATTAGAATAAGGTACTCAATATCACAATAAGACATTACAGACCATTAACAAACCTTAGCAATTGTCAGTTGCAGCAGGTAGCCTCGTGGTTAAGAGCGTTGGGCCAGTAACCGAAAGGTTGCTGGTTCGAATCCCGAGCAGACTACGCGAAAAGTCTGTTGATGTGCCCTTGAGCAAGGCGCTTAACCCTAATTGCACCTGTAAATCTGCTGAATGACAAAAAATTATAATGTCAGTTGTGCTTAGAATTAGTCTATGTACCTGTGGCTTGGCAAAAGGTTCAATCCTTCTTCTATTGTCATCAACTTGCCTGGAGGGAAGAAGATTTTGTAAGAATCATTATAGAACACCTTTAGCGTAATAGTAACCAAAACACCTTTCACCTGTGCATTTATTCACACTTACATTTTCTTCACCACGTCCCGCTCCTGTTCTGTGGCATCGGAGAACCTGCTCTTTCTCTTCCGTTTCCCGGGGCTCTTGTGGTCATCTGTGGCTCCTTCCAGGAAGCGCCGGAAAGGTTCGGGGATCTCTGTTCTCACTCTGCCGCCCTCTGCTGGCCTCTGAGGAGGCCCCCTCATGCCTGGTGGTCCCATCCCTCGCTCTGCCTCTGGATGATGCGGACCCCTCCCCTCCTGACGAATGGCCTTGACAAGGTCAAACAAATGCTCCCTGCTGCTTTGACCCCCTGTCTCCATTGGTTCCGCCATTTGATCTGTGAACCTCAAATCTTGGTCAGCAGCTCCTTGCCTATCTGGCCCCTTGGGGTAGCCACGGCCGTTTGGATCCCTGTCGAGAGATCGCCTATGAGGGTTGCCTTCTGGATAGCCTGGCCCACGCGGTTCCTCCTCTGGGTACGCCCTGCGTTGCACCTCCTCCTCCTCAAGATATCCGCTTCTACGGTGATCCTCTGAGTAAGCGTCTTCATGAACAGATGGTCCGTGGGCTGCCCTTCCATGGGCGTGTTCAAAGCAAAGAGGAGCTTTGTCAGGATAGGCTCGTTCGGAAGGCACTTCCTCCAGATATGCTCGTTCGGGAGGAACTTCCTCCAGATAGGCCGGACCATGAGGATAGCGCCTCCCATGTGGTGATTCATCTTCCCGAAAGGCCCGCTCCTTAGAAGCTTCAGCAGCATGAGCTGTTCTACGGAGAACCTCCTCAGAATAGAACTGCTTGAGAGGATCATTCTCCAGGTAGACGCTCCTGCGTGGAGGTTCTTCAGGGTATGCTTGGCGATGAGGGATTTCCTCTGGGTGGCCTGGCCTTGTATCACCCTCCTCCAAGAACTCTCGTCTACGCATGTCCTCCAAATAATCCTGACCATGGATTTGTTCTTCAAGGTAGTGGTCCCTTCTACGAAGCTCATCCTCCATAAACTCCCGTCTACGAAGGTCATCTTCATGATCACTTGCTCTACGAAGCCCGTCTTCCTCAAAACCACGCAGACTGAGGTCTCCTCCCCTCAAGTAGGCCTCTCGCGCTGCACCGGCCAATAAGTAAGGATCGTCTTCATGGAAGGGAGATCTATATAGATCATCTTCAGCATGGCCTCCTCTGTGGTGGTACTCCCCGCAAGGCAAATCCATCCTCCCTGGATGCAGGCGCCCTTCCCGCCTCATGTCTGATGGACGAGCAAGTGTTGGTTTTGGCTGATTCTGAGCCCCTCTTTCTTTCGGGGGTGCTGAAAAAGGGAAAATAACATTGTCAATGTTTTCTGTTTGTGATCCTGGACAAGTTGAGAATAAACACAGCTAGTTCAATGACTCATGGTTGGAAAATGTTTAGTGTAGATTTTTTTTGTATTTATTTCTGATTTGACTAGAAGACGTGTCAAAAAAAATTATCTGAAGTAAAAGATCTTACCTCTTGAAATGTTCAACTTGCCCACATTTCGTTTTTTCCTCAAAGGCTAAAATAAAAACCAAAGATTAGGATCACAAGATTTCAAATAGAACACTATTAACACTTGCAAATAAACTAAACAATTACTTGATTCTTTATCAGAGGCACATAGACATAGTATGTAGACCTACAGTGGCAGGTAGCCTAGTGGTTAAGATCGTTAGGCCAGTAACCGAAAGGAGTCCCGAAGCTGACTAAGTTTGAAAAATCTGTTGACGTGCACTTAACCCTAATTGCTCCTGTAAGTTGCTCTGGATAAGAGCGTCTGCTAAATAACAAATATAAATGTAAACTCTGTTGTCAATAAGCAGGTACCTTACCAGGGGAATCATATAGTCATCATGACTTACCTTTGGACTTCCTTGCCCATCCTGTCTTTCCACAATCTCCGCCTTGGCCCGTATAGCCTTCCCTGATTGAGCCAGGATACTGGTACTGTCCCATGTCACCAAGTCTTTCCTTTTCACCTCCTAGAAGAAGGAAAGTACATCAATCATCACTATATTTAAGCTCCTGACCATCATGATCCTTGCTTGGCTTTAATAAAAATGTCCAGCAAGAAAGAGGAGATCATGCATGAGACACATCCAGCTTCTGTCAAGGTTATGATGTCAAATTATTTTTGGGGGTTCTTACACGGATAAACCATTGACTACAACAGCCAGTAAATCACCTCCTTACCAGGTATTTCTGTCGATGTTTGCGACCAATTATATGATTGACCATGTTGGGTAAGGTTGCATCCAGATCGCACATTCTGCAGATGTATCTGGGGCCAGGCTGACCGTCACGGGAGACCGGATCCACCTCGTCCAGAACACTCAAACCTGACATGAAGAAATAAGACGTACTGGTCAGAAAGAGACACTTTAAACATAACTATCATTAGTCTCTTAACTATTTTTGATCCAGTTCTCTTCTACAAGTATGTGCTCTTTGGGCACCAACTTAAAGTTAGAATTTTGTGTTGAATTAGACATGGTTTTAAAATACAGTAGTTACCGATGATGGGCTCATCAAGCTTCAGGTATCGCAAGTAGTGTTTGATATCCGTGAAATGTGGTACCTCATGATCCCTGGTAGCTTGTCCTGTGAGACCCACAACATCAGTTAGAGATCAATGCCACAATCAATGATATGGTCTTTAGATGACAAATAGTGCTTGAACAACACAGACTACGGCTGTAAAAACGTACAAATCTTAGTTAGCACTGGAAAAGTCAATAATTCACATACAGTGGGGTCCTAAATTATTGGCACCCTTGATAAAGATGAGCAAAAATTACTATATTGTATGCAACAAAAAGGGAAATTATATTATTTTATACTAATACAATTGCTCAGAGAAAGATTTTGTTTAACAAGTAATAATTTATCAAAAAGGTAGGGGTCAAAATTGACATTTCTGTTTTCAATACATCACCTTGCGAGGATAATGGCACTGAACCTTTTTCTAAAATGTTTTACGAGTTGGAGAACACATTGGGAGGGATCTTAGAACATTCCTCTATACAGAATCCTTCCAGGTCCTTCGTCTGCGCTTATGAACTGCCCTCTACAGTTCAACCAACTGCAATCAAGTGCTTGTTTTCACAAATGGTTAACATGCATGAATAACCTGGCTATCATCGTCCATGCGTGATATGTTACAGATATACACTGAGATGATGGATTGGTCTGCTGAGGGAATCAAACATTCCACTCAGAATGCGAGTCACTACCAAGAGATTATGGTACTTCTGCTGACTGGTGTTTTCAGGTGTTTCTTGCAGCGTTCCTTCACCCAAATCAGCCACAGAAATCACAATGACCTCACAGGGCGGAAATCCCACTTCTGACAACTGCAGCAAAACCAGAAGCAGCTGTGGGTCCAAGGGGAGTGAACTAACTGCAGCCCGATAGAATTGAGTCTCTTCAAAGAGATTGAAGCATGCTTACCAGGGACAGGATCGTGCAAATGTTTGTCTAATATCTCAGCAAAATTATTATTTTTTTTGGACACTGAGTTGTGAGAATAGCAGGCACAGCTCAACACATCCACTGTTAAGTCTTGAGTGTCTTACAGTCTGTGCAACGTAGAACTCTTGAAGTGTCCATTAGGACATTCGGATTGCAAGAAAATAGAGGGCAGTCGAGGAACAGTGATGCAAATCATCATAGCGGTGACCATGTGTACAGCTAAGCTCTCTTGCTGTTAATATTAGTTCATACGACATATGCATTTAGGTTTCTTCGCCTTTTTAACATTGTTCACAAATAAAGGAAAATACTGCTGCTCTAAAGGTCAGCTGAAACAGTTTAAGGCAACATTTGAGTGTGCATACCGATAGTTACAAGAACGAGCACAATGCAAAGAGTCCCATTTATTTATTTAGCAAGTGTGTGAGGGCTGTGGGACCACATGACTGCGGCCTCAGCCAAGGTGCTTTGCACTCGGAAACACATCACCCGAAGTGCACAGGGTGGGAGAATGGGACAACGCATAGAACTCGAGTAGCCACTTGCACTAAGCAAGGGACTTTGCTAATCACGTCTGGTTGAGGAAGGGCTGTGTGATTGCTGGCAGGTCAGTTGTGGGCCACATCTTTCACTGCATTCGCACTTAGGAGTTCCCCCTATAGAGACGCTTTTGAGGAAAGTGATTGAGGGGCTTTCCAATTCCATTGCCAGGTCCACCTTCTTAAAGCATAGACAACACACACAACAATGTCCTTTTGGATGTTTATTTTCCTCTGTTCAGCTAGCATCTTCCAGTACATGGAGAATAGGAGAACCACATACTTACTTAGACTCAAATCACAGTTCACAGATATGGATCCAATTGATTGGTGTGACATTTATTCCACACACAGACATTTATTTTAGTCTTAATGGTTTCAGGTGGTGGACTACAGACATACTATGGTTTAATGCCCTGTTGAAATCCACCGGTGAGCATTGACTTAATCCATTGTTATTTCAGAAAGAGTTGGTTTGGCAAAACAGCTATTTTTTTGCAGTAACAAATAATCAGATTCTGTTTCTCTCGTACCAATGAGTGGACGTCACACGAAACGGGAAGAGCACATTTTTTGCAGATATGTGCACAGAAACTGCTACCATGTGAGGCTATAGTACTGAACTTCATATTCCCCTCTCCAATGATCTATTCAAAACTGTTTATCGCTGATTGAAGGTAGAGTCAGCAATGCACAAAGTAAACAGCAATATAGGACCGATTTCCCCAACAACTAAAAGCATGGTTAGTGCTATCCGGGATCCTTGGAACATCCCTACCCTAAACCCTAGAGCTGGGATGATAAACCGAAGATGATCGACATCGACCATACCGATCACTTATCGCAAGCATTTTGCTGACATCGTTCATTACGATAAGATACTAGAGAAATGTGAAGTTTGAAATGAAAGTTTACTAATATGGGTGATTGTTAATGGGACAATTGATTGCTACAGCCATCAAACTAGTAGTAGTACTTTAAAGGATAATAAATAAATAAACTGGTGCACGTTATTAACTTGTTCTATTTATCGTTGTCACATCAATTCAGGCATTATTTTACAATATGGATTTTTGTCCATATCGCCTAGCTCTACTAAACCTTTCCCTAATCCTTTTACATTTCAACGGGGTGATGTCAGAGTTGGGATGTCCCAAGGACATGGTTTAGACATTTCCCTAAGAGCACGAGACTAAACTTCTCTGCTGTTGAATGACACGAATGTAAAATGTCAGTTGTGCTTAGAATTAGTCTATGTACCTGTGGTCCTGCAACTATCACATTGTGGCTATTGAAGTGCACATGAGCAGATACTCAGTGATACTCTGTGCATGGTCTTGTATCACACTCATCTGATCTGAGGTGCTGCATGGTGCTCCTCGTGGCAGCTTCATATCGCAGCATCTCAGTTTAATAGAATTTTACTCAACAAAAACGACGTTGTACCAACCCTTCCGTACAACCTCTCTGCAAAGTGCACTAACACTATTGGCACAGAGGGTAGTGCTTGCCTTGTGAGCCTGGTTTGAAACTCTGAACTTCCTTTATCCCTGCCAGAAGGAAGGGGCAGCAACAAGCCACTTACCGAGGTCCAAGCTCATCGTCGACAATCAGTGAGTGAAGGGAAGATGAAATTACTTACCAGTAGCAACCAGGGTGTCCTCTTTCTGTCAGGAATGAAGGGAGACGCAACCGAGAAAAACAGGTTCAGTTAAGTCAATCAGCAATGGATCATTGGGTAACTGGTTGGTGTAACCAGCAACCTTGCTATCATAACTACAGATAAAGATGGGGTTAGGATCCATGACGGAATCACATACATATAATGGGAAGCCACACCTAAAGCTCGAGGTGCACTGATGGGCCATTTGGGAGTGAGACTATACATTATTCCAATCTCGACTCCGACCTGTAGCTTACCTGCCCCTTTTCATTTAGTACCTATACTTCCGTTGTTTGGGTTTGAGACAAACTTAGCAACTGGGTGTCTTCATTTGATTTGAAAGCTTTAAAAAAATATTGAGTACATTATTGGAATTTGTGTTTTGTCCGTTGCTCTTTGTCCATCCTCTTATGTTCACTAGCGCATTGTAATGCTAAATGGTGGTTTGAAAACGATGAAATATCTCCAAGTGGCATACAGCGACTGTGCAAGCGGAATGTGGTTGCTTCGAACTATAATTTCTAGTGTCAGAAAAATGCCAGTGGAAGACACTCGGCATACTTCAGAGGTGAATAAGATCCATGATACTGTGGTGACAAAGTCCTGTAAGTAAGTTAAGAAGGGTGAATCCTTTCCCTAAGAAATTTTCTTCACTTGAATGAGGTTACCAAGGGAAGACAAGATATTTCTCTATCATAATATTTCGCTCGACAACGGTTCAATGCAGATGGCTCCGGATAGGGCTTCGGACATAATTTGTACGCTAAACCAGGGCATGCAGATCCGGTGTAAATGAAAAATAATGAACACTATTCCAATTGAGACTAGTGAACAGCTTTGTACAGAGTTTACATTTGTCTCACTTAACAGGAGCCGACAGTGTTTCTTATAAAAACATCTTGAAATACTTAAGGACATTTTTGTTTTCAATATTAATCACGAACAGACCCAAGCAGGAAGACAAGACATAGGTGTCCCTTCTGGAGATGAACTGCTTTTGAGTGCAAAAAGGTCAGTCTTTGGAGCAGCAGTGAAGTTGAAGAGGATCAAGTTGTTCCATAAGAACGGAACATGGGGATTGAAGAACCAAACCTAGTATGATGGCAAAGGTAGTCTCAACTTTGCATGGGAAAAGTAAACGGATTCATTTGAACCTATAAAGACAAGCCTAGACATGGTCCTCTGTAGCTCAGTTGGTAGAGCCTGGCGCTTGCAACGCCAGGATAGTGGGTTCGTAAAAATGTATGCAAGCATGACTGTAAGTTGCTTGCGTCTGCCAAATGGCATATTATATTACAATCTTAGACAATTTTTCCTTCTTCCAACTCTCTCTACATTCCAATATTCCCACAAGTTGTCATGACGATTCAAACCCAGTGATATCCATCAGCATTTTACAGCACCTAGACAGGGGACATCTCCGAGCGTCATGAATACGGCACAGAGTAAAAATGAAGGAATCGGTAAGTTCCAAAGTCAACACCTTTCCACAAAGAATATGACCACCATTTTGTCTCTCGTGGTTTCTGTTCAACCATGACGCAACATGAAAAAGTATATTGTTGGCCCACTCCCATCTTAAGGTTGTTACTGGGAGCAAGAGGAATCAAGAGATAACAGAATTAAACTGAAATACAGTTCCAGTGTGCACAGATTTGTTACACATCCAGAGGTTTTGGATTCTTCATGGTGATTTGTTCGTTGATTCTTGTTGGCGTTATGCCATGTTCATCAACAATATTTACTAAAATAATATTTTTATGGAAAATACTGTACCATATATCGGGAGCACCAGAAGGTGCTGGTGGTAAACCAAAGGTGAAAGCAAAGCTGAACGTGATGTTTATTTAAGTCCATACCTTGCTGGTTATTTTGTACAAGTAGTATGAAGCCATCTGGAAAGAGGAAAAATACCATACGAGAGCACAAGTGAACAATAGTGGCTTTCTGGAAGCTCTTGAAAAATACAAAACACAGTAGCTTGGTTCTGGAAAGAAGAGGTTAATAAGAGGACGTCTATGTGCAATTCCGTGGTAAAGGAATTATGCTGAGACTCAGATCTTTCACTGAAAAATGTATACCAAACAAAAACCATTGATTTCAAAGTTTAACTAACTATAGAACTCTATGCATGCACAAGGACCACTTAACAATTTCCACTGAACATTTTACAAAAACACATTTACAGGAATAACTGTGCAGATACATTTGTTAACGGAATAAAACTGAGGGATCAAGTTGTTCCGCGTTATTTGTAATTTATTTTGTACATAATGTTTCTGCCATCGTCTCTTATAACCAAAAAGAGCTTCTGAATATCAGGACAGCGATTACTCAATCCGTATTGGACAAATAATTTTTCTTCAACGAGGCGGCCGCGAAGGATATCCTACAGACACCCGACAAGGCCCAAATCCCTGTCATTCGCATGAGGAAGAGACAGAGATATCGTGGACGTAGGTCGGGGTGCCTTGTAAGGATCCGACGGCGAGCGAGTAAACTGCCGCTCCCATCAATCTTATTAGCCAATCTTCAATCATTGGAAAATAAATTGGATGACCTAAGATTACGGTTATCCTACCAACGGGACAGTAAAAACTGTAATATCTTATGTTTCACCGAGTCGTAGCTGAACGACGACATGGATAACATACAGCTAGCGGGCTATACGCTACATCGGCAGGATAGACCGACTGACTCCGGTAAGACAAGGGGTGGCGGTCTGTGTATATTTGTAAACAACAGCTGGTGCACAAAATCAAATACTAAGGAAGTCTCAAGGTTTTGCTCGCCTGAGGTAGAGTATCTTATGATAAGCTGTAGACCACACTATTTACCAAGAGAGTTTTCATCTATATTTTTCATAGCTGTCTATTTACCACCACAAACCAATGCTGGCATTAAGATTGCACTGAATGAGCTGTATAAGGCCATAAGTCAACAGGAAAACGCTCATCCAGAGGCAGCGCTCCTAGTGGCCGGGGACTTTAATGCAGGGAAACTTAAATCCGTTCTACCTAATTTCTACCAGCATGTTAAATGTGCAACCAGAGGGAAAAAAACTCTAGACCACCTTTACTCCACACACAGAGACGCATACAAAGCTCTCCCTCGCCCTCCATTTGGCAAATCTGACCATAACTCTATCCTCCTGATTCCTGCTTATAAGCAAAAACTAAAGCAGGAAGCACCAGTGACTCGGTTAATAAAAAAGTGGTCAGATGACGCAGATGCTAAACTACAGGACTGTTTTGCTAGCACAGACTGGAACATGTTCCGGGATTCTTCAGATAGCATTGAGGAGTACACCACATCTGTCACTGGCTTCATCAATAAGTGCATCAATGATGTCGTCCCCACAGTGACGTACGTACATACCCCAACCAGAAGCCATGGATTACAGGAAACATCCGCACTGAGCTAAAGTGTAGAGCTGCCGCTTTCAAGGAGCGGGACTCTAACCCGGACGCTTATAAGAAATCCTGCTATGCCCTCCGACGAACCATCAAACAGGCAAAGAGTCAATACAGGACTAAGTTTGAATCGTACTACACCGGCTCTGACGCTCTTCGGATGTGGCAGGGCTTGAAAAATATTACAGACTACAAAGGGAAGCACAGCCGCAAGCTTCCCAGTGACACAAGCCTACCAGACGAGCTAAACCACTTCTATGCTCGTTCGAGGCAAGCAACACTGAAGCATGCATGAGAGCACCAGCTGTTCCGGATGACTATGTGATCACGCTCTCCGTAGCCGATGTGAGTAAGACTTTTAAGCAGGTCAACATTCACAAGGCCGCAGGGCCAGATGGATTACCAGGACGTGTACTCCGAGCATGTGCTGACCAACTGGCAAGTGTCTTCACTGACATTTTCAACATGTCCCTGACTGAGTCTGTAATAACATGTTTCAAGCAGACCACCATAGTCCCCGTGCCCAAGGACACTAAGATAACCTGCCTAAATGACTACTGACCCGTAGCACTGACGTCTGTAGCCATGAAGTGCTTTGAAAGGCTGGTCATGGCTCACATCAACACCATTATCCCAGAAACCCTAGACCCACTCCAATTTCCATACCGCTCCAACAGATCCACAGATGATGCAATCTCTATTGCACTCCACACTGCCCCTTTCCCACCTGGACAAGAGGAACACCTACGTGAGAATGCTATTCATTGACTACAGCTCAGCATTCAACACCATAGTGCCCTCAAAGCTCATCACTAAGCTAAGGATCCTGGGACTAAACACCTCCCTCTGCAACTGGATCCTGGACTTCCTGACGGGCCGCCCCCAGGTGGTAAGGGTAGGTAACAACACATCTGCCACACTGATTCTCAACACAGGGGCTCCTCAGGGGTGCGTGCTCAGTCCCCTCCTGTACTCCCTGTTCACCCATGACTGCATGGCCAGGCACGACTCCAACACCATCATTAAGTTTGCCGACGACACAACAGTGGTAGGCCTGATCACCGACAACGATGAGACAGCCTATAGGGAGGAGGTCAGAGACCTGGCCGTGTGGTGCCAGGATAACAACCTATCCCTCAACGTGACCAAGACAAAGGAGATGATTGTGGACTACAGGAAAAAAAATAGGACTGAGCACGCCCCCATCGTACAATGGGGCTGTAGTGGAGCACGCCCCCATCGACGGGGCTGTAGTGGAACAGGTTGAGAGCTTCAAGTTCCTTGGTGTCCACATCACCAACGAACTATCATGGTCCAAACACACCAAGACAGTCGTGAAGAGGGCACGACAAAGCCTATTCCCCCTCAGGAGACTGAAAAGATTCGGCATGGGTCCTCAGATCCTCAAAAAAATTCTACAGCTGCACCATCGAGAGCATCCTGACTGGTTGCATCACCGCCTGGTATGGCAACTGCTTGGCCTCCGACCGCAAGGCACTACAGAGGGTAGTGCGTACGGTCCAGTACATCACTGGGGCCAAGCTTCCTGCCATCCAGGACCTCTATACCAGGCGGTGTCAGAGGAAGGCCCTAAAAATTGTCAAAGATTCCAGCCACCCTAGTCATAGACTGTTCTCTCTGCTACCGCACTGCAAGCGGTACCGGAGTGCCAAGTCTAGGTCCAAAATACTTCTTAACAGCTTCTACCCCCAAGCCATAAGACTCCTGAACAACTAATCATGGCTACCCGGACTATTTGCACTGCCCCCCCACCCCATCTTTTTACGCTGCTGCTACTCTGTTAATTATTTATGCATAGTCACTTTAACTCTACCCACATGTACATATTACTTCAACTACCTCAACTAGCCGGTGCCCCCGCACATTGACTCTGCACCGGTACCCCCGTGTATATACAGTGGGGAAAAAAAGTATTTAGTCAGCCACCAATTGTGCAAGTTCTCCCACTTAAAAAGATGAGAGAGGCCTGTAATTTTCATCATAGGTACACGTCAACTATGACAGACAAAATGAGAAAAAAATATCCAGAAAATCACATTGTAGGATTTTTAATGAATTTATTTGCAAATTATGGTGGAAAATAAGTATTTGGTCAATAACAAACGTTTCTCAATACTTTGTTATATACCCTTTGTTGGCAATGACACAGGTCAAACGTTTTCTGTAAGTCTTCACAAGGTTTTCACACACTGTTGCTGCTATTTTGGCCCATTCCTCCATGCAGATCTCCTCTAGAGCAGTGATGTTTTGGGGCTGTCGCTGGGCAACACAGACTTTCAACTCCCTCCAAAGATTTTCAATGGGGTTGAGATCAGGAGACTGGCTAGGCCACTCCAGGAACTTGAAATGCTTCTTACGAAGCCACTCCTTCGTTGCCCGGGCGGTGTGTTTGGGATCATTGTCATGCTGAAAGACCCAGCCACGTTTCATCTTCAATGCCCTTGCTGATGGAAGGAGGTTTTCACTCAAAATCTCACGATACATGGCCCCATTCATTCTTTCCTTTACACGGATCAGTCGTCCTGGTCCCTTTGTAGAAAAACAGCCCCAAAGCATGATGTTTCCACCCCCATGCTTCACAGTAGGTATGGTGTTCTTTGGATGCAACTCAGCATTCTTTGTCTTCCAAACACGACGAGTTGAGTTTTTACCAAAAAGTTAAATTTTGGTTTCATCTGACATTCTCCCAATCCTCTTCTGGATCATCCAAATGCACTCTAGCAAACTTCAGACAGGCCTGGACATGTACTGGCTTAAGCAGGGGGACACGTCTTGCACTGCAGGATTTGAGTTCCTGGCGGCGTAGTGTGTTACTGATGGTAGGCTTGGTTACTTTGGTCTCAGCTCTCTGCAGGTCATTCACTAGGTCCCCCTGTGTGGTTCTGGGATTTTTGTTCACCATTCTTGTGATCATTTTGACCCCACGGGGTGAGATCTTGCGTGGAGCCCCAGATCAAGGGAGATTATCAGTGGTCTTGTATGTCTTCCATCTCCTAATAATTGCTCCCACAGTTGATTTCTTCAAACAAAGCTGCTTACCTATTGCAGATTCAGTCTTCCCAGCCTGGTGCAGGTCTACAATTTTGTTTCTGGTGTCCTTTGACAGCTCTTTGGTCTTGGCCATTGTGGAGTTTGGAGTGTGACTGTTTGAGGTTGTGGACAGTTGTCTTTTATACTGATAACAAGTTCAAACAGGTGCCATTAATACAGGTAACGAGTGGAGGACAGAGGAGCCTCTTAAAGAAGAATTTACAGGTCTGTGAGAGCCAGAAATCTTGCCTGTTTGTAGATGACCAAATACTTATTTTCCACCATAATTTGCAAATAAATTCATTAAAAATCCTTCAATGTGATTTTCTGGAATTTTTTTTCTCATTTTGTCTGTCATAGCTGACGTGTACCTATGATGAAAATTACAGGCCTCTCTCATCTTTTTAAGTGGGAGAACTTGCACAATTGGTGGCTGACTAAATACTTTTTTTCCCCACTGTATAGCCTCCCTACTGTTATTTTATTTTACTTCTGCTCTTTTTTTCTCAACACTTTTTTGTTGTTTTATTTTACTTTTTTTATTAAAATAAATGCACTGTTGGTTAAGGACTGTAAGTAAGAATTTCGCTGTTGTATTCGGCGCATGTGGCCAATAAAATTAGATTAGATTTTATTTGAGATTTTACTGTAATTTTATTTTAGCCCAGTAATTTGTTTTACTTTTTTATTTTCACCTTTTATTTAACTAGGTACTGTGTAAATTGTTCAAAGTAGTCATTGTACATAGAGTTGTATGGTTTGTTAAACTTTGAAATCCATGGTTTTTGTTTGGCATACATTTTTTAAGTGAGAAAAAAAAGTAATTCCATCACCATGGAATTGCCCTATTCAGCACATCCTCCTGATTGTAGTTGATAACCATTTTTAAACGTATCATTGTGATTTATTTTGTGAACAGCAATTTTACTCGTCATGTGTACTGACCTTATTACTCTAGTAGCTATAAGATAGTAACAGATCGTTGTGAATTGTGAGTAGTTAAAATATTTGACTGCAACTTTGCTTCTTACCCTGATGTGTTGTATTGTAGTCAGGTGAATCTTATACAGGGTATCACCCCTAATGGATTTGGTGCAGACCTGAAAAATAGAAGATTCTTCATGATGTGGTGGTGAGAGAGATGGCTAGCCTAGTCACGTCGTTAGCTTGTTTGTAGCTTCTTGTGCCTAGGCTACTCTCAACGTTACTTACAGCACAGTCAATGAAGTCCACGGCATTAGGATCCTCGTACATCGTTTCGAGACCCTCCATTGTTGCCCTGGAAATTCGAAATGTAGCTATTTACCTAGCTAGCTGAACCGAGCTGAAGAGCCTATGTGGCTAGTAAACCAGCGTTAGCTGATGGATGACTAAACAGCTAATGCTAACTTAGCGAAAACAAGCTTAAAAGATAACCGTATTTCCCACAGTGGAATTAAAAAGGACTGTCTTTTTAGATTGGCGGATTTGATCCACAGTCTTTCCCAATTTTGTGAGTTTTTGCAAACTATGATAGTTATTTTTCAATAAAAGCGAAAACTGGCTTGCTGCTTTCAGAAACCTACTTCCTGTTTTAACTGGTTGACCAACATACTTACTTCCTCCCCATGTTGCTGGTCCAAATGCTATACCACCACCTGCTGGACTGATGCTCATATTGCTTTACAATGTGACATTGAAAGTACTGTATTTTTAGAGGGCATGTGTCACTGTAAGTATACTGTAGTACACATGTATATGCACATTTTAAAACTACAAGGAATAATCACCCCAAAATAAATAATGCTGGATTGATGCAGGCAAACATGACAACAAGTCTTGATAAATTATCCTCTGTTTTGCTGTTTATTTGGTTCTGAGAACTGAACGCGTTACAACAATTTGTGTTTCAATGAACACTTACAAATCAGTCAAGTAAGTTATAAGGTATGGTTTTTCAAACAGTGGGCCCCTTCAAGTTCTTTAAAGAGCATAGCTATCATAGGTGGCTGAACAACATTCACTAGAGGTTAAAACCAAGGGGCAGTAAGTTATACAGTAAACAAGCACACAACACTGATGTCTCCACTCACTTGTTCCAATATGGGAAAGGCTTCAACTATTATGGAGACATTAAACATCTATAAAGCTCCATCTGCAATGAGACTCAAGGCTTTTCTGGAATGACTACCAGGTCTTCGGGAGCCCATAATGACAATACAAGATAAAACCAATTGGTTCCTAGTATTTACAGGCAACTTTGTCTATGAGGTAAAAATAAATAAATAGGTTACCGCTTCAAGAACAATGTTTACAATTAACAATGGATGTTTTTGTTTTTTCAAAAGCTTTTCTCAAAACAAGTGAAAACCTGTTACTTTTAACAGTAACCTAACATTTCCCAACTATTTAATTTTACAATTAAATCTGGGCAAGAGAACTTCTCTGAACAGGATTCATTGTTTTAAGGCCATTAATTTAGAACTTAAACAGTAACAATCCCTGCTATTAGTGAAGCACCCAAGAGCAAGATCTAAAACCCAGTGAGCTGTGTCCGCATAATGGGAATACTTTAGAGCAGTTATAAAATAACACATAAAGATGATAATCATTTGTAATAAAATACTGCAGCTGATTATATTGATACCACACTGAGGGGATGTATTCATTGGGACTACTGCATTATACAATTTCTGGTGCTATCTAAATTCACTATACCTGTAAATACAAAAATAATATTACAACAATATCTTCCTGACAATTTTGGGGAGGTTGGGGTTAGGTGTCGAGGGGAAACAGAAGAGGAATATCATGGGAAGACTGTTGGTGAAAGCCAAGAGGGAATCACTAAACCAGTACATGTATTCAGAGGAAGAACAGAAGAGGGGAAGAAAGAGAGTTCATTATGTATGGAAAACATGGGTCATGCCTTTCATTAAATAGCAATAGATGTGAAAGCATAGGATTTATATATCAATTATATATATATATATATCAGACAAATGATCTATTGTGAAAAGAATAAGAGGGATTATTGGCAAATAGGAGGGTTACATGATGATTGGTAAGAGAGGCATGAACAGTGTCAATCGGGAAGGAATGATAAACATGACTACATGGGGAAAGATAGGAGAGAGCCTAAGTCAAACAGTAAGTGGCGCAATGGCAAGATGCACATGGTCAATGATAGGTTGGGAGATGCGTCAATCAAAGGTTACTAAGTGACTTTGATGTCCACTTAGTGAAGTCCACATGTTAAATAGGGCGAGAGATGTGTCAATCAGAGGGTGGATGGTCAGTCAGGGGTGAGAAGCACAGGTGAACTGTCAGGCTGTGGGGTCATAAAGTTCGACACCAGATGAGGGCAGGTGCAAATGTCCACCGGTCACACTGGGGAGCAGAGAGAGGTCCGGTAGGTTGCTGAGACGAGTACGCAGCTCCTTCCGTACCTGGGTCACCCGTGCCAGCTTGCGCTTGTACTCCTGAAACAAGAGCAGGTATGAAGAGTGATGTGATATGTTTTGTACAACATTATACTTCGAGTTGGATATGCTGTTCAATTGTTAGACATCATCTTGGCGTTCACGGTAAACCTTTTAGCACAATGGTTAGGGAAAGGGAGGGTTTACAAAGTAACTTGGGCACATCCGAGTAAATTGATGACATTCAATCATTTCGGTTTCATTGTGAAGTCCTATTTACTTTTATAAGTGACAAACAGAACATTTTAAATGAAAGAGTAGAGTGAAAAATGTACTGTGTATTCTTTCGTCCGTAGTTTTATATTACTAGAGTGTGTTAGTATTGGTTTCTTGAACTGAAAACCATCATCACCCTACAACCTCTCACATCAGGATCACAGTGATGGCAAGGGAAATATTTCTGAAAGACCTTTACTATAGCCATTCTGTCATTAAAGTTGTGAGCTATGAAATCCTTTCATTACATTTCAAGTGACAGAAACTAGTGTTTGATCCAGTCAGTATTTGCTACAGAAAAACCAAGAGGTTTCCTTATCTCCTATTTTTAAGCCAGTATGACTAATCTAACTATTCAAATTGAGCATTAAATCAGTCAAATTAATAGTACAGTGTGGAGAAATTCAACCTTATAGGCAAGTCAAGGATATGCTAAGTAACCAAGGCCCAGTTTGACAAACAACCCCTTAACTGAAGTGTATGACTCCCCTACACGACTGGGTACATACTAGTAACCCCTATCCTCAGTATAGGAGAGTAAAACCACCCTGAACCCAGGGCACAAAAAGGGCTATTCACACAGGCAGCCCAATTCTGATATTTTTTTCACTTATTGGTCTTTTGACCAATCAGATCAGCTCTGAAAAAGAGCTGATGTGACAAGATCTGACGTGGTTGGTCAAAAGACCAATTAGTGGAAAAGAATATCAGAATTGGGCTGCCTGTGTAAACAGCCATATAACCAATAATCCTGACACTAGGAAGCATGTGTTTAGAAAAAGAGGGTGGGCAACTCTAGTACTGGGGAGCTGTAGTGTTCAGCTTTTTATTCCAGCCCTGTTCTAACACCCGATTAGATGAATTGTGGTCTATTACGGATGACCATTATTATTAGTGATTTGGTGTGTTAGTGCTGGGCTGCAACAAAAGCCTGCACATACTGCAGCCCTCCAGGACCAGTGTCCCGCACCTGGTTTAGGGGCTTGACAATTCAAATTGAGAGGAAACCAAAATCATATTTGCAGACCAGTACAATTGATCAATGAACATAATATACACCTGCTGAAAATGCCTTCAGACATTTTCACTACCCCGTATGAGTAAGAATAATAATATTAAGAGTGTTTGGTTAAGTTTATAACTCTAGTCAGAATGCACTTCATTTAAAATAAATGAACAAATGTAATGTGAGCCTGTCTGTAATAACTGTCTGCATTGAGTACAACTCTTAACGGCATTTAATCCCATTTCTCTGGTCTACTTTTTTATTTTGTTGAAGCTATGACCTCAATAACTATTTCCAATGTAAAGTATCTGGTCATGAATGACTATCAAAACTAGGTTTAGTTTTACAAAAATATGTAATGTGTTTGCAATAACATAACAGGTGAAGTTGAGTGTTATGTTTAACAAGATAGTGTTTCATTCATATTATTTAATACCATGAAACTAAAAAATAAAGTCAATCAAATAGGACTGGAGTCATTCAACCCACCACCACCAGTATGCACACAAGTAGCAGCAAATAACAGCACTCAGATTCAGTTTAATTTTTTATTCTCTTTTTTTTCTTTATTACAAGAGAGATTTGTTGAACTGCAGATACATAGACCAGAAGACTTGATCTTGCTGACTTCCTGTGGGTAAAGGCTGGACAGTTATGCATTCAGCAATTTGAAAAAAACATACATTTTTCCTCCACCGTGTTTTACAAACCAATGGAAATAGTTTGTAGTGGTTTTGCAAGTAATGGAGTGAGAGATGTCATCTTTGCTAAAGCATTCTGGGGGAGGAAGAAGCCACTGGAAAGTGGAGAGAGGCATAGTGACTTGAATCCTAACTTGAGGTAAACATTAACTCAAACTGTTGTGCAAATCTCCCACTGACAATGCAGAATTTGCATGACAGTTCCAGTTAAGCATGCATATCTCAAGTTTGGACATGGCCAAATAAAACAAATTTGTCCCATCAACGATTTACTCGGTAAGGGACAGAACATTATTATACTTCAGAAGTGTTGCTCGTGGCAAAATGTGAGCAGTCTCCATTCGATTCAATTGGAGACATTCAAAGCATACCACCTGAAAGGGTGAGGTGATACAGGACACAAACAGGAAAAAGCATGCTACAAAAACAGAACATGTGAGACAGACAGAATGAAGATGGAGAATGACAGAAGAGGGTGTGTAGTGAAATAATAAGAGAGATGATTATTTACGCACTTCTAGTTTCTGCTCGTTCTGGGCCAGGCCGTCCCTCTGGCTGTGTAGAAACAGGGTGAGGGTGCGCGTGAGCTGCCGCCGGTCGTCAACCTCTGCCGCCAAACGGCCGCTGTAGTCCGCCAGCAGCATGCACGCCTCCTCGACCAGCCTGGACAGGCGCTCGCCCTGCTCTTTATCTGAGACAGTGAGGACAGGGGGGAGAGAAATAATTAATTTAAGCTGAATGGGTTAATTGCGACACCTCATTCAACAAGTGGGTGTCTCCAATGATGACAAACTATATCAAGCACTGACAGAGTGTGTGTGTGTGTGTAATGAGCATTGTTAGGTCAATTGGGTGAGGACATAAGAGCCTATCGTTACATCCCCAACTTAACAGCCTTTTGTCAGTTGTGGCTGACTGAGAAGGGACTTATGTGATTGAAAGATTTGCTTAATTGTAGGGCCAACTAATATACAGCATGTTTAACTGTTAAACTGACTAATGTTTAAAGTGTAGCATGGTGTCTGTCGTGGTTTTTCAGAAGACAGCACTAACACGTTCCCCGTCACTTCAAAAACTAGGCTACACACAGCTGGGGCACCTGCAGGTGTCAGCACAGCAGTACTGCAACGGCCAAGCCTCGTTCTGGAGCCCAACCACCCTCCTGACCACTGTGCCCCCCCCACACCCCTGCCAACAGCACCACTCTGGAGCATTCCGCATGGCTGACTGTAGCTAGTGTGAGATAGAAGTGTATGCCAGGGCCCACCTGTGATCCTGTGCAGCAGTGACGGGTCCTGCACCTCAGCAGGCAGGGAGGAGATCCGCTGGCGCAGCGCCGAGTCCCCGGAGGCTGCATTCTCCAGCTCCTGCAGGGCCCGGATTAACTCCGCCGTCTGAGAGGGAGGAGAGGTAGAAAAAGAGGGAAGAGTGGAGGGGGAGAGTGAGGAGAGGTGGGGAAAAAAGACGTGAAGGAAAGTGAGGACAGGCAGGAAATAAGGGAAAAGAGAAGGGAGAAATGACAGATGGCGACAGAGGAGAGAGTCCCATATTGCAGTTAGATGTTTGGCATACTTTCTAAGAAGACAAGGAACTAACAAAGCAACTCCGCTTAAAGTCATGTGGATACGAAAACTGTTAAGTGGGATACGAAGAGGTAAATGCAACGACAGAAAGAACCTCTGATCGGTTGAATGAACCAAGCCATTACACAGCCCCCCTCCCCAACACACACACTCCATGTCACCCCCCCGTGAGGTGTTGGGTTGGCCTGTACCTGTGGGGGCTCTGCTGGGGAGCTCTGGGAGGCCAGATCTTGGTCGTCCAGTTGAATCTCCTCATACGGCCTCTTCTTGGCCTTCTTCTCTCCCACTGTAGAACATGGATACAGGGTGAGCACTCATGGGAAGAAGGTGACAACACACTGATACGAATACGTCACATCCTTTGACACTGGCCGTGTCCGAATACACATAGGACATTTGAGTACGCAAAAAAAGTGTATACTTTAAATGTCACTCACTTCAGCTGATCAATTAGATATAGGGATGTGCTACTGAAATCAACGAATGGCAGGGAAACAACGCAATAACACATGACTCATTCCCAGTATGCAAAGAAAAATGTTTATCAAGTGCTTTAAATGCCAGGATGTTGTACTTATTTCAGCTCTTCATCTAGTAGAATTTGACGCACACTTTCCCACAATGCATTGGAAGAGGTGGTCTGCCCTAGTCATAGGCCCTAGTTCTCTTCAAGTAGCCAAACAACAACTAGGCTACTTAATTGGGAAATGATCACGAGTATTACATCGTAGGCTACGTCTTTGAAAACAGAAGTCTTAGATTTCTGTTTTCTCACTGAAAAGTGTTTGTTCTCTTGGCCTTCGTCAGAGCTTTTAAAACGAAATGTAACTAAATCTTTTGATTTCTGAACGTATCGGCACCGGGGACTCGGGATGGGGTTGCGTTATTGATGTCATGTTAAATCAGGCCTTTTGATTTGAACATATGGATCGTTCAATTTTTGTAGGCTAGGCTACCCATTATTGAATGTATGGATCAAGCCTTAGCAGTCATTCTGATCTCGTTCCCAATGATCAGTGCTTTAGTTTATTATGTTGCCAGCCAGCGGTTCCTAACTTTTTCTCTGCCTTTTGAATTGAACATTTGAATAGTTTTGGTGCATGTACTAGGCTATTTAATTTATATATGTTAAAGCACTTTGGTTTCACTAATAAATGTTGAAATGATCTGTTTCTGTCTTCAGTCCTTTTTAAACAGGATAGATGGGCTACATGGTCTACTATGATACAGGTTGAATGTAATGGTCTGCCTATAACCAGCCTGAGTAGGTCTATAACTCCATTCATATTCAGAGTTTAGAGAAATTAATCAAATTGGAAATGAGCTATTATCAGGCTGGTTAATGCGATGCACATCTGTCGAAATGGGAAAAATCCACCCCCACTCGGCCTTGCCCCACCTACTGCAGTTGCATACTGCATACTTTTTACTAAACGGTACGTGCTAAATAGTATGCAACGATGAGTACATAGTATACAGTTTAAGTTTGTAGTACGCTAGTCGGACACGGCCACTCACTTATGTGAAGTAATGACTAGTGAATGCCCGTACCTCCTTTCAAGCATACTATGTTTTCAGATCAGAGTAGATGGAGGAGACCAGGACAAGCAAGCCACTTAAGACTATTGATACACACCCGAGGTGTAAGTTGGTTAGGAGGGTACTTACGCAGGACGTGAGAGAGCTGGTCCAGCAGGTTGTTCTCATACACAGCTCTCTCCTGCCAGATGGACAGAACCCGGCCCAGCTGTTTCTTACATCCGTCCTCTCCTTCCCTGCACACACAACTAATTACCATCAGCAGGCTCATGCTCCAATCACGACAATAGCGAAAACAGCGGGAGCCAGGTTTGACTGCATTTCACCCCTCACCTGGACACATGTTTGAAGGCATCAACGATGACAGGAGCAAAGTCCTGGGTGAACTCGGGTCCTTTCTTCTTGCTGTTCTGGATGACATCGTTGGCGAGGTAGAGGAAGGTGAGCTTCCTGGATACCTTGGCTGCAGACATAGATCACAGTCAACTGTGGGAAACAGTCAAAGCAGAGTGAAACTACACAAAGCAAGCACACCACTTATCTATTTAAAGCATTAATGCTCGTGACTAGAAAGAGGACCTACTTGTAGCCTTTGCTATGGCTTACAGCTTTCATCTACCAACACTGACTGTGAATTTGCGGCATTGAAGCTTTAGGCACAGACTGACACAAAATTAGAAAGTCAGAGATAACCCCATTTGTGACTTGTGGTTAGTGAATTCATTCAAAACACCAAGGACAGTGATGACAAAGAAATAGGAAGTAAGAAACCTACAAAATGAGAGCACAACTAACCATGAGTAGGCTACAGGCAGGGCAATGCTAAGACATCAGATGCTATTCCCAGTCCACAGAAGAGAGTCAGCAGCTCCCAAAATAGAGGCCCAAATGGGATATCATTGTGCTCTTTTACCCAAAGGAAAACAGACCGAATCAAATACCACTCCTTAGCTCAAACTAGCACAAAAGCTCAGATTTGTATTTAGGCAGTAGGCTACATAAGAGACAGCTACAGGTATTGGTAGACTAATGTCATACACAATGCAGATTGTCCTCTTCCCAGGCACATTTTAAGCATTCAGTATTAAAATGAAACATCTGATCATCAATTTCATATAGCAAAAATATCTGAGCTCAAAATCAAAAATAATGAAATAGCCACACTACAGCGTTCTACAGCTGAATGTTGCAGTCATTACAACAGGTATTCACACATTGAGACCTTGTGGCAGTGTAGTGAGAAATCCTTCCATACAAAAAAAGGTTCCATTAGTGTTTCCAGGTAACGATTTTCTTGTGAACAGTCATTGGCAAAGCAGGGAATGTAGGCTGCCTAGATGAGTCAAATAGGTGGGCTATTGTCGGTCTGTGAACCTATTTCACAGATATAGCCCATCACTCATGTGCAGTGACGTGATGCAGAGAGAAGTTTTTGGAAAACATTTCCTAAGAAGCACATAGGCTATAACCTACTTCATTCCAATCCATTACACAAGTCATTGGACAAAGGAGTCTTCTGTACGGGTGAGTTTTGTTAAGAGCCCCGATGCGCAGTCTGAACATTAAGACGCATATTTTGCATTTGTACAATTATTTTGATGAAAGTAAAAAGGGATTTACACTGAACAAAAATCTAAACGCAACAATTTGAAAGATTTTACTGAGTTACAGTTCATATAAGGAAAATCAGTCAATTGCAATAAATTCATTAGGCCCTAATCTATGGATTTCACATGACTGGGAATACAGATATGCATCTGTTGGTCACAGACACCTTAAAAAATAATAATATGTAAAGTAGGGGTGTGGATCAGAAAACCAGTCAGTATCTGGTGTGACCATTTGCCTCGTGCAGCGCAAATAATAATATGCCACTTGGCAGACCCTTTTATCCAAAGCGATTTACAGTCATGCGTGCATACATTTTTGTGTATGGGTGGTCCCGGGGATCGAACCCACTAACCTGGCGTTACAAGCGCTGTGCTCTACCAGCTGAGCTACAGAGGACCACAGAGAAACACATTTCCTTCGCATAGAGTTGATCAGGCTGTTGATTGTGGCCTGTGGAATGTTGTCCCACTCTTCAGTGGCTGTGCGAAATTGCTGGATATTGGCTGGAACTGGAACACTGTCATACGCGGCAATCCAGAGCATCCCAAACATGCTCAAATGGGTGACCTCTGGTGAGTATGCAGGCCATGGAAGACATTACATTTTCAGCTTCCTGGAATTGTGTACAGATCCTTGCGACATTGGGCTGTGCATTATCATGCTGAAACATGAGGTGATGGCAGCAGATGAATGGCACAACAATGGGCCTCAGGATCTCATCTCTCTCGGTGCATTCAAATTGCCATCGATAAAATGCAATTGTTGTTCGTAAGCTTATGCCTTCCATTACCATAACCCCACCGCCACCATGGGGCACTCTGTTCACAATGTTGACATCATCAAACCGCTCGCCCACAAGACACAATCTGCCATGTACTGTTGAAACCAAGATTCAGCCGTGAAGAGCACACTTCTCTATCGAAGGTGAGCATTTGTCCACTAAAGCCAGTTACGACGCCAAAGTGCAGTCAGGTCAAGACCCTGGTGAGGACGACGAGCACGCAGATGAGCTTCCCCGAGACGGTTTCTGACACAAGTTCACACACCAAAAGTACCTGAGTTCAAATCAGCAAAAAAAATGTTTTTAAAGTATTATTATTCAACAGCCACCCTACAGCTTTCTAGAGATAAATATGGCACTCATTACAATATGTTTCACACATTGAGACCTGGTGGCAGTGAAGTGTGAGAAATCCTTCGATAAAAAAGGTTCCATTAGAATGAGATGAGCTACCCTGAGATGGTTCCTGGCAGTTTATAAAGAAATCCTTCGGTTGTGCAAACCCACAGTTCCATTAGCCGTCCGGGTGGCTGGTCTCAGACGATCCCGCAGGTGAAGAAGCCGGATGTGGAGGTCCTGGGCTGGTGTGGTTATACGTGGTCTGCAGTTGTGAGGCCGGTTGGACGTACTGCCAAATTCTCTAAAACAACGTTGGAGGCAGCTTATGGTAGAGAAATTAACATTCAATTCTCTGGCAACAGCGCTGGTGAAAATTCTTGCAGTCAGCATGCCAAGTGCACGCGTTGTGTTGTGCGACAAAAAACAGCACATTTTAGTGGCCTTTTATTGTCCCAGCACAAGGTGCACCTGTGTAATGATCATACCATTTAATCAGCATCTTGATATCCCTGTCAGGTGGATGGATTAACTTGGAAAATGAGAAATGCTCACTAACAAGGATGTAAACACATTTGTGAACAAAATTAGGGAAATAAGCTTTTCGTGGATAAGGAACATTTCTGGGATTCAAGTTTAGATGGCGTATTTACAGTGCATTCAGAAAGTATTCAAACCCATTCACCTTTCCCACATTTTGTGACGTTACAGCCTTATTCTAAAATTGATTAAATAGTTTATTTTCCCCTCAATCTACACACAATACCCCATCATGACAAATCAAAAACAGGTGTAGAAATTTATAAAAAATAAACTGAAATATCACATTTACATAAGTATTCAGAACCTTTACTCAGTGCTTTGTTGAAGCATCTTTGGCAGTGAATATAGCCTTGAGTCTTCTTGGGTATGACGCTACAAGCTTGGCACACCTGTATTTGTGGAGTATTTGTGGAGTTTCTCCCATTCTTCTCTGCAGATCCTCTCAAGCTCTGTCAGGTTGGATGGGGAGTGTCACTGCACAGCTATTTTCAGGTCTCTCCAGAGATGTCTGATCGGGTTCAAGTCCAGGCTCTGGCTGGGCCACTCGAGGACAGAGACTTGTCCCGAAGCCACTCCTGCGTCGTCTTGGCTGTGTGGGGTCGTAGTCCTGTTGGAAGGTGTACCTACACCCCAGTCTGAGGTCCTGAGTGCTCTGGATCAGGTTTTCATCAAGGATCTCTCTGTACTTTGCTCCGTTCAGCTTTTCCTCGATCCTGCCTAGTCTCCCAGTCCCTGAAAAAGATCCCCACAGCATGATGCTGCCATCACCATGCTTCACCGTAGGGATGGTGCCAGGTTTCCGCCAGACGTGACGCTTGGCATTCAGGCCAAAGAGTTCAATCTTGGTTTCATCAGACCAGAGCATCTTGTTTCTCATGGTCAGAGTCCTTTGGGTGCCTTTTGGCAAACTCCAAGCGGGCTGTCGTGTGCCTTTTACTGAGGAGTGGCTTCCGTCTGGCCACTACCATAAAGGCCTGATTGGTGGAGTGCTGCAGAGATGGTTGTTATTCTGGAAGGTTCTCCCATCTCCACAGAGGAACTCTGGAGCTCTGTCAGAGTGACCATCTGGTTTTTGGTCACCTCCCTGACCAAGGCCCTTCTCCCCCAATTGCTCAGTTTGGCCGGGCGGCCAGCTCTAGGAAGAGTTTTGGTGGTTCTTCCATTTAAGAATGATGGAGTGTTCTTGGAGACATTCAATGCTGCAGAAATGTTTTGGTACCCTTCCCCAGATCTGTGCCTCGACACAATCCTGTCTCGGAGCTCTACGGACAACTCTTTCGACCTCATGGTTTTTGATCTGACATTACCTGTCAACTGTGGGACCTTATATAGAGAGATGTGTGCCTTTCCAAATCATGTCCAATCAATTGAATTTACCACAGGTGGACTCCAATCAAGTCGTAGCAACATCTCAAGGATGATCAATGAAAACAGAATGCACTGGAGCTCAATTTCGAGTCTCATAGCAAAAGGTCTGAATACTAATAAGGTATGTACGTTTTCGATTTGTCATTATGGGGTATTGTGTGTAGATTGATGAGGAAAAAATTAATTAAATACATTTTAGAATAAGGCAGTAATGTAACAAAATGTGGAAAAGGGAAGGGCTCTGGCAGCTGTTTTAGCTGCCAGAGCCAGTCTACCTCTGAAAATAACATAAGTACCTTAAGGAGACGAACGTTACCATTACTCCTTAACAGAACATCTTGGGCTAGCTATAAGCTACTTACATGTGTACATTTTTATGGGCAGCAATACTGACCCTTGTTCACCCTGATGTTAAGTAGAACATAATAGGATATGTCTGATAGTGAAGTGGGGTCCCAAAGAGAGGGGCTCTACCTGTCACAAGACTACCTGGTTTTAGGACTAAAATTAGTAGCTAGCTAATAGTTACTGCATTCTCATACACTATCAGAGCAATCACTCCAATGACCCAACTTTATTGAGATACATACAGTGCATTCAGAAAGTACTCATTCCCCTTGACTTACTCCAAATGTTGTGTTACAGCCCAAATTCAATATGGATTTGTATTCTCACCCATCTACAAACAGACAAAATAACCCATAATGACAGAGAAAACAAGATTCTCTTTGGCCATGTCTGGAGAAAACCAGGCAAAGCTCATCACCTGTCTAACATCCCTACTGTGAAGCATGGTGATGGCAGCATCATGCTATGGGAATGCTTTTCAGCGGCAGGGACTGGTAAGGATAGAGCGAACAATAAAATGGAGCCAAATGCAGGCAAATCCTTGATGAGAGTCTGCTTCAGAGTGCAAACATACTGGGGCAAAGATTTACGTTCCAACAGGACAATGACCCCACGCATACAGCCAAAGCAACGCTGCAATGGCTTCAGAACAAGAACGTGAAAGTCCTTGAGTGGCCCAGCCAAAGCCCAGACTAAAATCGCATTGAAAAACTGTGGAAACACGAAGATTGCCGTTCACCGCCGCTCCCCATCTAACTTAACAAAGTTTGAGTACATCTGCAAGGAAGAATGGGAGAAAATCTTTGAATCCAGATGTGCAAAGCTGATCAACCTACCCAAGACGACTCAAAGCTGTAATCACAGCCAAAGGTTCTTCTACAAGGGGTTTTGAATACTTATGTAAATAAGATATTTCTGAATACAATTTTCTATAAATTTGCTTAAATCTATTTGGAATTCAGGCCGTAACACAACAAAACGTGGAATAAGTCAAGGGGTATGAATACTTTCTGAAGGCACTGTATTAACTTGGCATTCTAACTAAATTGCAACTTTATAAGGCCTAAGGACTTGTGAGGTACCTAGCTAGCAGCTGGCTGGCTTGACTGGGGCCTCGTGTCAGTCTAGTTGTCCATACAAGCAATACCGTAGCAGGGTGATTGTTAACAGACTATCCCCAAGCACCCTAGAGGGGGGGAGACAGTGAGCTAGAACTAATGTTAAGTTTGTTAACTAGCTTGTTAGCAAGCCTGCATTTGCAATCAATTAGCTAACTAACTACTGTAAGTTAGTTACACAATTGACAAACAAGTTAGCTAGTTAGTAAAGTATCCAACCGTCAGTAGCTAACAAACTGACGTTATTTAGATTAGAGAAAAGTTAATGACATGGTTAGTAGATTGTGATGTGGTCAAATTAAGACATTTTATGTTTGTTTACTTGCAAAGGTTAGCCATCTACCTAGGTAAGAAGCTAAGTTGCTAACATTGCTAGTTCAGCTAACAGTAGCTAGCTAAAAAGCTTGCTAACTAACCGTAGCAAGTTTTCGTTAACACGTTAGCTAGCTACAGTTGATATGACTGTGTAGTCATTCATAGCTAAATAGAAGATAAATGCTAATATTGATTAATATATTTTAACTCGCGCTAGCTAACATTACCTTTTTTCAATTCGTTGAACCAAACGTTGACGATGGTCTTCGAGTGTTTTCTATGATGGATAAGCCAAAGTGACAGTGTCTGAACACTTTGTTGGGAGTTGCTAAGCTCCGATAGTTTCTTCTCCAACGCTGCCTCTGAAAATGCCGACATGTCGACGACTTTTGGGGGAAAACAGATATTGGATGCTAGCTAGGTCGTACAGCTAGCTAAGTTAGCAATCTACCTAGCTAGCTAGCACGCTATGTGCAAAACCTGCAGCCCTGCAAGTGTGTACGGACCGAGGCAGGGTCACTTTGTCGTCTTTATTTACGTGCACGTCTGTTTCTGTATTTAAAAAGCTGCAGCCCTGCAAGCGTGTACGGACGAAGGCAGGGTCACGTTGCCCTCTTTATTTAGGCGCACGTCTGTTTCTGTATTTTCATTGGTTCATTCTAGAATGAAGGCGGGATCTGGCTAGTAAAACATACCACGTTGCATTCTTGTTACATTCTCATGAACTGTGTTAGCAGTCTGGTCTCATAGTAAACGTAATTCCGGGACACTCTAATTAGTCTGAAATGTTATGTTTGGTATGGTTACATAAGACATACATTTATTTTTAATCCGTCTTGTGAATCAATCAATCTGTCATAATTAACACAATGGAAAAATCTAATTTTGTATTTAACTAGGCAAGTCAGTTAAGAACAAATTCTTATTTACAATGATGGACTACCCCCGCCAAATCCTCCCCTAACCTGGAGGACTCTGGGCCAATTGTGCGCCATCCTATGGGATTCCCGATCACGGCCGGATGTGATACAGCCAGGGATCGAACCAAGGTCTGTAGTGACACCTCTAGCGTTGAGATACAGTGCCTTAGACCGCTGTGCCACTCTGGATGTATTATTTAAATATTAAAAGTGTGTGGGCTACGGAGAGAAACAAAATGGTGCAGTTTCAGGCCATGTGGCGGAAAGTGTTGCTGGCGTTTGAGATGGGGGTGTGTGCTAGTGGGTCTAGGCAGGTGTGATGTAGTTGATGTTTGAATGATTTTGTCATTTGTATGTGTATGTTTTGTATATTTTATAAAAGATAAAATAAAATTAAAATAAAAAAAGACAGAAGGTTTCTTAAAGGTGCAATAGGCAGAAATCACTTTGCCATTTCCTGGTTGCAAAAATTTGAGTAGTTCACATAATTTCAGTTTGTGACAAAAAAATTGTGTAGAGAATCAATGTACGATCTAAACCGCTCTGAAATATATTTTCAATAACCAAAAATGTTGTATTTTCAGCTGTTTGAAGCTGGTTTACAAAACCAAAAGTAAAAGACGCAAAAACTAAACTTAAGAACGGGAAGCATAGAAATAGCGCACATAAAACAGATCTACCTCTTCTTAGATGTACTTTCAATGAGAATGACATACACTGCTCAAAAAAATAAAGGGAACACTTAAACAACACAATGTAACTCCAAGTCAATCACACTTCTGTGAAATCAAACTGTCCACTTAGGAAGCAACACTGATTGACAATAAATTTCACATGCTGTTGTGCAAATGGAATAGACAACAGGTGGAAATTATAGGCAATTAGCAAGACACCCCCAATAAAGGACTGGTTTTGCAGGTGGTGACCACAGACCACTTCTCAGTTCCTATGCTTCCTGGCTGATGTTTTGGTCACTTTTGAATGCTGGCGGTGCTTTCACTCTAGTGGTAGCATGAGACGGAGTCTACAACCCACACAAGTGGCTCAGGTAGTGCAGCTCATCCAGGATGGCACATCAATGTGAGCTGTGGCAAGAAGGTTTGCTGTGTCTGTCAGCGTAGTGTCCAGAGCATGGAGGCGCTACCAGGAGACAGGCCAGTACATCAGGAGACGTGGAGGAGGCCGTAGGAGGGCAACAACCCAGCAGCAGGACTGCTACCTCCGCCTTTGTGCAAGGAGGAGCAGGAGGAGCACTGCCAGAGCCCTGCAAAATGACCTCCAGCAGGCCACAAATGTGCATGTGTCTGCTCAAACGGTCAGAAACAGACTCCATGAGGGTGGTATGAGGGCCCGACGTCCACAGGTGGGCGTTGTGCTTACAGCCCAACACCGTGCAGGACGTTTGGCATTTGCCAGAGAACACCAAGATTGGCAAATTCGCCACTGGCGCCCTGTGCTCTTCACAGATGAAAGCAGGTTCACACTGAGCACATGTGACAGACGTGACAGAGTCTGGAGACGCTGTGGAGAACGTTCTGCTGCCTGCAACATCCTCCAGCATGACCGGTTTGGCGGTGGGTCAGTCATGGTGTAGGGTGGCATTTCTTTGGGGGGCCGCACAGCCCTCCATGTGCTCGACCAGAGGTAGCCTGACTGCCATTAGGTACCGAGATGAGATCCTCAGACCCCTTGTGAGACCATATGCTGGTGCGGTTGGCCCTGGGTTCCTCCTAATGCAAGACAATGCTAGACCTCATGTGGCTGGAGTGTGTCAGCAGTTCCTGCAAGAGGAAGGCATTGATGCTATGGACCGCCCGTTCCCCAGACCTGAATCCAATTGAGCACATCTGGGACATCATGTCTCGCTCCATCCACCAACGCCACGTTGCACCACAGACTGTCCAGGAGTTGGCGGATGCTTTAGTCCAGGTCTGGGAGGAGATCCCTCAGGAGACCATCCGCCACCTCATCAGGAGCATGCCCAGGCGTTGTAGGGAGGTCATACAGGCACGTGGAGGCCACACACACTACTGAGCCTCATTTTGACTTGTTTTAAGGACATTACATCAAAGTTGGATCAGCCTGTAGTGTGGTTTTCCACTTTAATTTTGAGGGTGACTCTAAATCCAGACCTCCATCGGTTGATAAATTTGATTTCCATTGATAATTTTTGTGTGATTTTGTTGTCAGCACATTCAACTATGTAAAGAAAAAAGTATTTAAAAGATTATTTCATTCATTCAGATCTAGGATGTGTTATTTTAGTGTTCCCTTTATTTTTTTGAGCAGTGTATATATCTCACATTTCTATGTGAATTTGGTCAGGTCACCCAAAAAGTTACATATTGCAGCTTTAAGGCAAAAACGAAAGTAGGGTGGTTGGTCGGAGTGGTGGTTGGTTGCGTGTTCGAATCTCATCACGGACAACATTAGCATTTTAGCAACTTTGCAACTACTTACAAATGTTTTTCTACTTTGCAACTACTTAACATGTTAGCTAACCCTTCCCCTTTAACCTAACTCCTAACCTTAACCCCACCCTAACCCTAACCGCTAGCCTAGCTAACGTTAGCCACCTAGCTAACGATAGCGTTAGCCACCAAGCCACCTACCTAACGTTAGCCACAACAAATTTGAATTCGTAACATATCATATGTTTTACAATTTCGTTACATTTTGTACAAATTGCAATACGTAACATATTGTATGAATTTAAATTCTAATTTGTAACATATCAGAATGATATGGATGATGGACATCCACAAATTAATACATACCATACAAAACGTAACATATCATACTAACTGGAGTGTCTCAGATTTAAGTTTACTATGTTATGTCTACCACTGAGTCCTGGTCAGTGTTAGATTCTTACGGTATTATGTTGCAATGTGGAAAGATAGTCACAGTTGAAGCTGAATATTGGGGATGGCAACATGATTTGATAGAGACTTGGGTGTAGAAGACCAAATCAAGAGATCATACAGAAAACAATCATAAAAAATACATGCAGAGACATTTGATTGTAGCATTCCAACAGCTGTGGGGGAAAAATAACACTTGCTGTGATACAAGTGGAGAAAGATTACTTTTATACTATTCCAGGTATTCCTTAAAGAGGTAGGGTTTCAAGTGTCTCCGGAAGGTGGTCAGTGACTCCGCTGTCCTGGCGTCGTGGGGGAGCTTGTTCCACCATTGGGGTGCCAGAGCAGCGAATAGTTTTGACTGGGCTGAGCGGGAACTGTGCTTCCATAGAGGTAGGAGGGCTAGCAGGCCAGAGGTTGATGAACATAGTGCCCTCGTTTGGGTGTAGGGTCTGATCAGAGCCTGAAGGTAAGGAGGTGCCGTTCCCCTCACAGCTACGTAGGCAAGCACCATGGTTTTGTAGTAGATGCGAGCTTCGACTGGAAGCCAGTGGAGTGTGCGGAGGAGCGGGGTGACATGAGAGAACTTGGGAAGGTCGAACACCAGACGGGCTGCAGCGTTCTGGATAAGTTGTAGGGGTTTAATGGCACAGGCAGGGAGCCCTGCCAACAGCGAGTTGCAGTAATCCAGACGGGAGATGACAAGTGCCTGGATTAGGACCTGTGCCGCTTTCTGTGTAAGGTAGGGTCGTACTCTGCGAATGTTGTAGCGCATGAACCTGCAGGAATTGGGTCACCGCTTTGATGTTAGGGGAGAACGACAGGGTGTTGTCCAGGGTCACGCCAAGGTTCTTTGCACTCTGGGAGGAGGACACAATGGAGTTGTCAACCGTGATGGCGAGATCATGGAGTGGGCAGTCCTTCCCCGGGAGGAAGAGCAGCTCCGACTTGCCGAGTTTCAGCTTGAGGTGGTGATCCGACATCCACACTGATATGTCTGCCAGACATGCAGAGATGCGATTCGCTACCTGGTTATCAGAAGGGGGAAAGGAGAAAATTAATTGTGTGTCGTCTGCGTAGCAATGATAGGAGAGACCATGTGAGGATATGACAGAGCCAAGTGACTTGGTGTATAGAGAGAATAGGAGAGGGCCTAGAACTGTGCCCTGGGGGACACCAGTGGTGAGAGCACGTGGTACGGAGACAGATTCTCGCCACGCCACCTGGTAGGAGCAACCTATCAGGTAGGACGCAATCCAAGAGTGAGCAGCGCCGGAGATGCCCAACTCGGAGAGGGTGGACAGGAGGATCTGATGGTTCACAGTATCAAAGGCAGCAAATAGGTCTAGAAGGATAAGAGCAGAGGAGAGAGAGTTAACTTTAGCAGTGCGGAGAGCCTCTGTGACACAGAGAAGAGCAGTCTCAGTTGAATGACCAGTCTTGAAACCTGACTGGTGTCACGACTTCCACCGAGGCTGCCTCCCCTCCTTGTTCGGGCAGGCTTTGGCGTTCGTCGTCACCGGCTTACTAACCACTGCCGCTCCCATTATCATCACTCCACTTGTCTTGTCTTGTTAATCACACACACCTGGTTCTCATCCCCTCATTAGTCTGTGTATAAGTGTTTCCCTCTGCTCCCTTGTCTGTGTGGGTGATTGTTCCATGTGAGAGTAGAGTAGCTCGGTTGAGCTACTCTCTTATTGTATAAGAGTAGATTTATTTTCCCCTATGCTTGTATATTGTTTGGAGTATTTCCGTACCGTGATTGCCAGGGTAGAGAGTTTCCCCTGTGCCTATG